TTCATTGCTTTGTAGAGAAATATCAGATTGTTCCTTAGCCTACGGTGCCATAAAAGTTCTAATAAGAGGTGCTTACATCTATCTGCGTAATGAGGAGTGAAATCACTTCCTAGCAGTTGGTGTGTGAAGCGTCTTTGGACATCTACTCTTATTTGGTATATGGTATTCATATTAGAGAAGATAAAAAGGCAGTATCCAAAGAAAGGTAGCATACACATTTTGTAAAAGGTAAGCGTAGCCTCCATTGTGAAGATATTTTTTGTTATGAAACCAATTAGCCGTCTAGCTTTAGAAGTAATAGAGGAGGCATGTTCTTCAAAGTTTAGACTACTCATGTAATTAATTCCTAGATCGTGTAACGTGACTATATTTGCTACTCCCACAGAAGTTGATGAATGGGTACATATCATAATTAAGAAACGTCCTAATCTTGCTAAAGGAAAGCCAGTCCCCCAAACAGTAGCTGAGAAATTGAAGACTGATCATGGTGACAAGTTATTTGTTGTTCGTAGAGTCAAGGAGACGAAGAGGACATAAAAAACGCAAATTTTCAGGTTGATAAGCTTCGACAGAGAATGATGCCGAAGACACTCAGCATGAAGGCACATAAAATGTCTTTGGATGTTACACAAATGCCCGAAGCGGGCTTAACAAGCTATCGGAGCTAGGTGTACAGAGAGACTCAACCAAACCGGATGTAATCGCTCTCACAGAAACTTGTCTGACCCAGTCCGTGAACAATAAGGAATTTGATTTTAAATGTTTCATTTCAGTAAGAGCCTACAGAATACAGAAGCGTAAAGGAGGAGAAGCTCTATTTATTAGAAGTACTATCTCATTTACAGTTATTGATAGAGTACCCCAAGAGAGTGAGACATGTGAATTTGTCAGTTGCCGCTTGAAATGCAAAGTACAAGAGGTATCGATTGCTTCAATCTACCGCAGTGCAAACTATGATGTGATTAAGGTTTCGCAAAACGGTTTCAAGACCTGGTCATCAAGTGGTCGGTATTTAATTTTAGTAGACTTTAATCCACTTTCGGTAAATTGAACAAAAGTTGAGGGCCGAATCGTTGGAAAATTTCTTTGGATAGGAACTAGTTGATGAGGTCATTACATGTACTCTTGAGTTACATGTGAAAGAATCAACTAGGAAAGACCTGAACTCTAAATCATCCTTACCAGACCTCATACTGACCCATCATGGGGATAACTTCACAAACCCTTGTCATACGCCACCCCTAGGTAGACGTTTTCATGCAGTTGTAAACGTTGATTTCTATATGGCTGTCATAAACGAATATATGTCAGCCCAACCCAGACCTAATGTTTGAGAAGCATTTATACAAGATATTATACACTCAGTATCCACAGTAGACTGGTCAGTAAAACCAGGGTCTTTAATTGAAACTGCTTGGGAGGTGTTCAGAAATTTTTTAAGAGTCACTAAGCCAAGGAGTTCGAGAAACTGACCGCCGTAGTTAAATAAAGAGGTTCATATCTTTCTCCGTAAGATAAGAAGGATGCAGAGGAGATTTATGTGCCTGTATAGTGACGAGACTAAATGTCAATATCGAGACGCTCGAAATATTTGTGTCTCGACCCTCCTCAAGTCCAGAGGGTCGTACGAAGAAAAACTTGTCAAGAAATCTATAGAATGCTCTAAACACTTGTATCTGTAAATAAACCAATGAATTAAGAGAATAGGAAATATTCTAGCATTATGGGTTGACATTAATATTTCATCATTGGTGGAGGACGATAATGGTTAAGCCCAAGGATTTTTGAAATACTTTATCACTTTATATACCACAAGGCCGCCTTTGCTTTTTTTACACAAACACCTCACACACTGAATTTTAAAGAACTCTATGTCTTAGGTCTGCTAAACCAGCTTGACATGGGCTAATTCATGGTAACCGATGATATGGATCCTAGGCTACTAAGGGAACTAGCGAATTTCGTCGTGAATCCCTAAAGCATATGTGATAATCCATCTTTAACCCAGGGACAATTACCAGACGTCTGGAAGAATGCTATAGTAAGTCCTGTCTCCTAAATAGGTACGAGACATAAACTAGAGAACTATCGACCCGTAAATCTGATTAGAGAGGTTGTTAAAATTCTAGGAAAGATTATTCGAAGGGAGTTGTTTAAAAAGTTATACGGAAACCGGATTCTTTCTGAAGAGCAGACTGGCTTTAGAACAGGTTGAATATGTAACAGGTATTGTAGTTTGACAAAACCTTGCCGGTAATATTTTCTACGACTGAATCTCGCCCACGCAGTGAAATCGAAAGTCAGAAGCGAGGAGGTTGGAAGATATATTTGATAGGTTATCAATATGTCGAGAAGTGACTGATCTAAACTGGTTAGCTATCGCTGGAGACGTTGAACACGGCGTTCCAACTCGTGACCTTGTGGGGATGCATGACCGATCTCCTTCAGCTAGGTGAGTCCATTAAAACTAGTATGGTCAGCATCAAATGCCTAACACTTACAGAGCTATTGATTTTGGGGCTTATCTACCGCTACAAGGTAGTTCTTGTCTAATTAATTTGTCAGTAGTCTTACAAAGTTGGTGTGTTCCTAAAGAATGAAACTTACGTAGAGACTAAGCTTTCATTGACTTTAGCAAAGCTTCTGACGAAGTTCCCTACAATCGGCTATTATGTAAGTGAACTAGTATTGAGATCGGAGGCAATTTATCAGTATGGATAAAAAAGCTTCCTAGTTAGGCACTAATAGTATACGAGTGAACCCGAAGTTGTCTAGCTGGGAAACTGTGTTTTATTGAGTGCTTCAGGATACAGTTTTGGGCCTGTATTGTACTTCCTACATGTAAATGACCTTCTTAGTCTCTTATCATCATCATTTTAGTTATATGCTGACGATATCAAGATATGGAGAGCGATAAAGAAATAAACGTGATAGTTTGAGGCTTCAAAACGACGTGGAGAAATTATTTGAATAGTCTAGGATTTAGAAGTCACCGATAAATTCTCCCAAATACAATATAATGTATAATGGTCATCGAGGTATAGATACGTGCATTGTGAATAACAGTGAGCTTCCTGTTATTCAGATATACAATGACTTAAGAGTCATAATTAGCTAAGAATTAAAAACTATTGCAAGCTTCTGTGCGACAACCGTCAAAGGTTTTAAAACCATATGGTAAATGTGTAGGACCTTTAATCATGTCGATGACGAAACTGAAGATACGACCAGTGTTCTAGTTTGGCGACTAGCAACCAGTAACACCTATATTCGAAGCGTTCCCCACTTGATTAAAACCAGAAGTCAGATGCGAAGAGGTTGGAAAGATATATTTGATACGTTATCAATATATCGAGAAGCGGTTACTCTAATCCGGCTAGTGAACGTAGGAGCTGTTTCCCACACTGAGTCGTAACATGATCTGGTGCGGATGCATAACCGAACTTCAGCTAAACAAGTCCACTTCAAACAATGTGGTCAGCATCCAATGTCGAACATTTAAATAGCTATTGATTTTGGGCAATTATTTACAGCTACAAAACATTTTTGACTCTGTTTACAGTGTTCGTGCGTCCTAAACTTCAGTACTGCATACAAGTGGCTAGCCCCTGTCTAAAAAGAGACAGTAAGCTATTGGATAAGGTTTAGAGAACCGCAACTAAGCAGACTCACGGAATGTCATAGCTCCAGCGCGCTTCTTGACTGGCCGAACTAAACCTATTTCCTTTGTCATATTGAGGAATCAGAGGCGACCTGATCACAGTTTTCAAATTATTCAGTGATAAATTTGCATTTGGTATGCCCTCATTTTTTGTCTTCCGAAACAGGGAACTTACGACGACACTCCAAAATAGTTTACAAGACCAGGACAAACTACTTTTCAGCTGAATATTGACTTTCCAAATGAGTCATCGTTGTATGAAATTCATTACCTCAACACGTGATTGAAGCTCTATCTGTCGACTATTTCCAAACAAATTTGGATCAACTGAGGGACTACCATTGCCGGGACCAACGTAAGCTGCCCAGCTTTCCATCTTTTGCAAGCTGAAACCGAAAATGATGGCCTTAGGTCGACACCTAAAGGATGCAACGCAGATGTATTCTTAAGCTTAATGACAGACAAAAACCTACGATACACATAGATATCAGTCAGCGTTTTCTGAAATGTACGGATCTCATAAAGTGGCATATATTACTGAGTTTAGTTATCCTACAAAAACGCTATCGAACTAATACACATCAAATGTCAAAGCGGTCTTGAAGCAAACCGTCAAAGGTCGCAGAAGTGAAAAAGCGGTGGTTTCAATCACAATTTTCATATTTCCACCAGGTTTGGTGTCAGATATATTTGTCTTGCTGTGTCGGTTGGTACTGTCATTTATTAGATCATAAAAAGAGGTTCAATAGCTGCTGTATGTATTATAAATTTTTCCCTACTCCGATTAATTTGTAAAACCTAACATTCAAAGTCCATCCCGAACTTCGTGTTTTAAACTTATGGTTGTTTCAAATTGTTTTGTAAAATGCATGGTCAACGATATATTCTTCTTCAAGTAGTATTATCACCGAAACCTACCTCATTTATAAGCGTCGCCGCGTTCAAAAATACACTTATCAGTTGTTAGATTTACTTTAGCATTATATTTACTAGCTTATAGACAGGATCTTTGCATTCATGTACTAGACACAACTACCATACCTCACTAAGCTTGTAAATGTAGATGGTAAGTATTTTTCCAACAATTATAACAGTAAAATAAAATAACCGTTTTGACAAAAGTGAATTCACAATATTCTGTCATTGGCATTCATGTCTCACTTTTCTGTCATCTAGACAACTTAAACAACTGAAAGTTTGTACACAATAAGACAACAGTTTTACTTGTAAACATAATTTGATGACAAGTAACATGTCGAGTCTGTTAATTTCTAGAATACGTTCTTTTACTGACTCGGTAACATTAAACTATACTGCCGAGCCAATCAGAAGCTTTCGCGGGTTTTCAAGGTCATGGCGCTAAGTTCGGCACCTGATGCTTACGTACGGTCGGTTTACAGCGGATTTTAGGGAAGACGTGATAATTTAGCGTCTACAATAGAAGTCATCATAAGATTTTGGCGCGAAATTCAATTATCCATTTGGATAAATAGAGTTTTGACATTATAGCTGATTTCAGTTCGTGATGAAAACCCTAAGTACAATTCCTAGCCTTAATCATGGACTGGAAATCATAATTTGAATTCTTCACATAGGTTTATAACCCTTATTTGGTCCTAGTTATTATGTTGACACTCTCAGAGTCACTCTAGCGTCGCTCAAAGGTCCATAACTTATAGTCTCACCCATAACCCTAAACCCTACACCTAAACCTTAACTCTAACCCTAACCCGTAAACCATACCAATATACTAACATTATTGAAGCTATGTGGTCGGGGCTAAAAGAATTTTTGAGTCCTTATCATGGTTTCAGAGGTCGACTACTATGGAGCCATATGGATGTGTTCCTGTACCGTATGCACTATGATTTTAGAATTTCTGAACCTATATCTGACCTTGAGAAGTTTTTGACCCATGTAAAAGAAGTGTTTCCACTTTAATTCTTTGGTTTTGCATAATATATTTTAACTGTATGCTAACTATCTTCTGATTGGCTAATATTTCTCAAGGTCATTTAAGATTCGTCCTAAGGTCGGCAGTATAGTTTAATGTTACCACTGACTCGAATGTTTTACTTCTTTTTGGGAAAATTATGCTATTTTGTCGTTAACGCTGATTTTGTTCCATTGTTCCTGGCATTTAATCTCACTTATTTCGTCTCATTGCTGTGATATAGTTCCATACATTTGTTTTTGATTCAAACTGCATAGTATGGATGGTTTTGAGTGTTTTGATGACGGTGATGTTCAAGAGGAAGACTTTAAAGGATTTTTTTATGGATGTTATATTCTGTTATCCCTAAACCCAAAGTTCCGTGGTAAAACTTACATAGGTTTTACTGTAAATCCCAAGAGACGCATACGACAGCATAATGCTGGTTGTTTAAAGGGTGGGGCGAAGTCCACTGCTGGTAAAGGACCATGGTTAGAATTCTGCTTTTGAATAATCTTCTTCAGGGAAATGGTTTTGATCGTTTATGGGTTCCCAAATGCGATATCTGCATTAAGAGTAAGTAATATAAAAATGCGAACTGTTCATACCTTTATTTTTAGTTTGAATGGGCGTGGCAAAATCCCAACTTATCACGTCGACTCAAAGATTCCCTTCCAGTTAGGAAATCAAGAGAAACCAGTTTTGACTACCGTTTACGCGTTTTAGCGCTAATGTTATGCACAGGACCTTGGAACCGTCTGGGTTTAACTATTCAATGGATCAAACAGTCATGTGCACGTAATTTATCGGAAAATTTGGTGCCTCCCCTGCACATGCCAATAGCCTTTGGACCCATTGAACCAAACTGTTTAGAAAATCCCGGTACTAACATTGCGTCATTCGGTCTTTGTCAGATTTGTCACATTCCATTTTCAGTAAGTGGTTGTTATTTTATCGAGTAAAAAATCCTAATTTATTTACTTCAACCGTATTTTTAAAAAAAGATGAATAATCGAAATCGAGGTTAGATCGGAGGTTCTACTCTCGCACACCACTACAGTATGATTTAGTGTTATTCATAAGCAAGGAGTTCCACAACATAACCAAGTAACTTTGCGGAATTTTTAGTGGAAAATTTCATATTTTCAGAAAATTTAAGTTGGTTAAACTTGGTGCTCGACCAACCAAAAATATCTGACTAATTCCATAAAATGTTTGATTAGTGTGTAATCGTAGGCTCGTGAAAGCTTACCATTATATATTGGAATCCAAGCATCAGCTCAATGGACATTCGTGCTTGCAGATATTAAAGGAATTCACAATCGAACTACCTAATAAAATAATTACAAGTGTTGAACATATATTTTAGTTTCAGACTGCATAAAAAACGTGATTCATTTATGAGGTTCAGATCCGTGTACTTGGCTTCGATTCACACTTCAATTGCCAGAGATATCAATGTTGTCCAAACTGAAGTAGATCAAATCAGATTAGAACTTGCGATCTAGTTACTGAAAGTCGAAACCACTAACCACTGAAGCACTACTCCATTTTGTATATTCCTCAGTCTCACATTTTAGCTCTAGACAGCATCCGGTATCTGATAAAGTTCGCAGTCAGTTTAATAGAGTTAGACACTGGGAAATCGAAACACTATCATTCATTTACAGCATCTCATAAGCCCCCAAATACCCTAGTAGGGCCGAAAATGGGAAGAGTCCGCTCTCCCTCTCCAAATGCTCTCACATGGCCATGCGAATATATAGCCTCTGTCAGGGAAGTCCTACTCACTGCCTTCTCGTGGCGGGGGTGTTGTTTACGAAAAGCGAATGTCCGGCGCTTTAACCGGGTTGGTGGACACGGAGGGTCCACCTATGGGAGTTGGAAAACCCTGATTCCAAACCATTGGTGCACATGGGCTCCAGTATCCTGAAGGAACAAACGGCGTATGAACCAATCGTTGGTCACCGGCTACCATGGGACTGCATCTCCTCACGATGCTCCACTGCCTTGTGGATCAGACCTTTAGGTCAAAGGCTCCGGGTATGGCTCCCTAAGAAAATCACCTGCTTCGGTCTGGGCACCCGGGCAGTATCACAGCCCACACACCAATGAAATGAAATGACGCATTCCACTGACCACACTACTCTCGCTTCTAATAGAAGAAAGACAATTTACATTATCATCATTATTACTATTATTATTATTATTATTATTATTATTATTATTATTATTATTATTTACTACGTCGCTTCTTCACTCCCTTTATTCCCAATTTGAGTGTGGCGCATATGTATCTGGTGCCCTTTTGTACCAATATTTATGTGTTTAAATAAATAAATAAATAATAATCTCATGAAACATTCAATTAAATTAATATTTTCACCTCGATTTTGTTTCGATTCCCTTGCTTTATTGTTAGCAAAAACTGGGTTTTCGTACTTTCTAAGTGACAGTTATGTATGTTTAAATCTGATAGTAGCACAAAGTTCCATGATAGCTACTACCTGTTTATTCTGTTGAAGGCAGATGGTGGTTTGCAGGACACATTGGTTACTCTTAAGACAGTAGTGGACCTTGTTACTTTTAGAGTCCTGTAGCGATATTTGTCAGTTGGAGTCGTATCTATTAATTAAACTGTACCGAAAAGTTTTTACTTCAGTATCCATGATCACGTGGTCGTATATAATAAGTATTTCTAATTGCTTATGACTGTCTTACATGGAATTCTGACATAACCGAGCAATCGTAAACGGACTGAAACCAATGGTACGCAAGTCGACACCAACCATAATTGATACTGCTAAATCTTTATATCTTACAAAGCCCCTGGTCTGTGACTGCGAACAATGTATTGTAGGGAGAAATACTATCCTTTCATATGTATATTTTTTCTTTGTGGTGATTATTAGTTAGATACTAATAATTATAACGTGGGTGAATGTCTTACTGAATAAATCTACTACTTGCTGAATACGTGACAGAAACAGTCATTGCCATCATTGATTATAATAAGCGACTATCATACCGAATTAATCTATAATGTCACCCTTTATCACTTCTCATCAACTGCCAAAGATGATAACGTTTTTCTGCTTATAGATCTTTTGATCAGCCTACAGTTTACGAATGACTCCGTAGCTGAATTATAGATACATTTTCCACCGTGCAAACCTGAAATATCTTTTTGGGACTTATTCTCCTTAATTACCAGTTTCAAAGCAGGAAGTATAGGGATTTTATGCGTTTGTCTTCACATTTTTTGTTTATATCGGTCTTGGTTAATGGCTGACTAATTACTGATATGGATGGAGATGGGATTATTCACAGTTCGCTATCTTTTGGGGCCGATGAAATAAATAATTTATTAAGGGCCAAGTATAGCCTCCAACAGTACTCATCTCCTTACTTACAAAATATGAAATTTGCAAAGGTTACGCATATTTGATGGCCTACGCCCATACAGACCTGTCTGGTTGTAGTAAATACCATTGGTTAAACAATGATTTGGAATGGAATTAGTGAAATTTTGACTACAATCAACTGAATTAGTTATGAGCTATTACAGATATATATCAACCATTTGTCTCAAAGCGTTATACTAAATTGGCAAGGAATATATTCTAATAGCCTCACGTTGTTTGAAGCAGAATGGATTATCAGTGTAATAAGTGGCTGACGACCATTTTAATACATGTATAGATGAATTTAAACTTCCACGTTGTGTCTCTCAAACGTTTTGAGAATAAAGATTAAAAGCTACCAACCTCCTCTCAAAGTCGGTTAAAATACCAAAAGTTCATCCGTACTATCCTTCTTTGAATCTTTATTAATTTATTTGCTATTCATTCACCTAATCACTTCTCGATATTGTTGCTTTCATTTCTATATGTCGTTGATGCAGCTTCATTGGAATTAAAGATGATAGTCTGTTTTCGTCCAAACAATAATTTTAGATTAACGACTAAGTAACATTAGTTGTTTGCATATTTAGCGTTTATAAGTTGACTTGATATGACAAAAATAACCATATTTCATAACTTCGCCAAACAATGACATGGGTGTTCCCTACATTCCCTAGTTTTTTTGTAATCATAATTGATTGTTGCTTTCTTATCGTTTTCATATTTTCCGTTAACTTTATTTCATTAATCTCAAGCATACTTTTCGAAATTCAGGTTGATTCCTCAGTACCACTGACTTGTCCAAGTTCTTGTCCCCTTGGTAAATGGCACTTACTATGTCTAGCAAACTATATGACTCAGGCTGATATTGTGCCTGATCGTTCGGAAATATCATACTTGATACCTTTGTCCGCTTTATGTCCCGCATGCTTCAATGCTGAACTTCTATGACCATCACTTATAAAATCATGGAAAATGAAAACAATCGCTTCTAAAAATTCTTGTTCGCCTACCGGTTTGTGAACTACTCATTAGTAGCCCCCATTATGTACATAATAATCAGTGTAATTTATGATTTACTTTGATTACTACTGTTTGAAATATATTTTTTGGGTGCACTGTTCTTTTGATAGTAAATGTAAATGTTATTATTTTTGGAGATTTTTTGACTCAGTTGTTAATTTCTATTAGATTACGGACTAGTTTTACCACTTTCATCTCATGTGTCGGTACATTATTCGAGATTCCTGTTTATTATGGAAAAGCACTTTATTGTTAATGTAAGAGAAAAACCGATAATCGCTAGGTGAAGGGGCCAAATGATGATTTATGCACAGAACTGAGATTAAAACTGTGATGGTCGGTATTCAATATTATCCTTAGCTGTGTATATTGTCCGTCCTGATAACCGTTACGAGATAACGCCCCAACGGTGTATAAATCAGAAGGCGAATACGAAGTGTTGACGTTTATCATTGCACCACGCACAGATATCCAAAATTACGGGCACGTTAAGTGAGCATGAAAGAGTAGTGCCGATAAGCAAGCGAGTGGGCGTACGAGTCTAATGTAAGAGCGAGTGATGGGGTCAATCAACAGGGTTAGAATATATATATATATATATATATATATATATATATATATATATATATATATATATATATATATATATATATATATAACTATGGTAATGAATGAATCATCGAATCAATTGAGCGACTAATAGTATTGCTAGCAGAATGAACATATGCGTAATCAGTATGCAATGCTTAAGCATACATATTGGTACGATTGCAACAATAATATAGATAGATTGTTACTGTACAAATGACTATGTCCGTTAAATAAGTTAACAAAAGGGCTTAACCAAATTATGCGTGAGGATACTCAATTGTACGTGAGCTGCTATAGGATGTCTCAAATATATTATAAATCATATTATTTCAAACCTTTTTATCAAAAGGGAACGCCGTTATTTGGATTCGTTGAAATGCCGAAAAGAACAAAATTTACAAAAAGGTTGAAGAAAAAAAGGAAACTTCAACAATATTGCCTAATTCTAATGGCCTTAGGATTATTTATAATCTTTCAGACAAAAATCTTAGTAATGGTAAAATCACTCTACTGGAGGAATGGCCAAATTACATAAAAAACCTTTGAGCACTATATTAATTATTCCAATTCTAGAACCACTAACAAACGACTGCCAAAAAATAATTCTCATTTACTACGTCAAAAGCCCATCTAATACTTGAAAAGAAGTTTTGAATGCTCTGCATTCACTACGAAAGGACAGAACTATTGCGATTAATAAAGCTTGACAAATTCAATACATCAGTAGTCATGAATAGACAGGGTTATTATGCAAAATCTTTTAAACATCTACCCACAGGACCGCATCTAGAGATTGATTCGGAAAATATTTATGACTAAAAGTAAGGTCAAATCGATGACAGTAGTTTTAAAAGAACTAGAATGATTCGTTGAGGTTTCTATTCTTTGCTTTATGTCCTAAATCATTTAGTGCAGGTTTCTATGGTTTACATAGAATTCATAAAACAGCTTAGTCATGAAATTTCTAAACTTAACCTTGCTTACCTTCAACGGACAAAGACGAGTATCTGAAGCTTTACATGTTTCCCAAAATCCTGCTGTCCTCAATAGAAAAAAAGGTCTTAACATCCATCCGACCTAATCCACCTACCATATCTGACTCTACTCATATCTCACACTATTATCAAACATCCGAATCCAACTCAGCATTTTCACATTGCAGCTATTGCATATCCATTAATATAGACAACAAAACATAAGCATGTCTCACTATAATCACTTTGACCGGAGTGACGCGACGCTAGCTTGGCCGGGCCCTTAATTAGTTGACTGTACAAGTTATTTTTGCTTCATTCCTTTGCACTATTTTAGATCTGGTTAACTTGATATGTTTATTTATTCTATGGAGAAGGGACTTACATTGAGTCACGAAACATCAGAAAATCTAACTTTCCTAGTCGTTGAGATATGAAAAGTACATTATTTTCATTAAATGTTGCTTATAGAATCTGAAGTTATTACACACGGTTACGATATTCCTAGATAAATCAGTTCTGGACAATGAGATATGAATCCCGTTCATTTCAGTTTTATTGCTCTAGAACAAATCGATAAAACTGTAGTAGCTGAGATATGTCGAATTATATGTAATGTTCAATGCATTTGAACCAGCTTATGAAAAAATAAATAAAGCCAAAACAAAAATCAGGACAGAATAGTCCAAATTCATTGTTTTTCGTGCTTTCTCGTCGGTTGTAATATGAGATAGTGGACATTAGTAACAAAATAATTAAAAGAAAAACGACTATAAAGTTAGGTATGGGAAAATTAAAAGAATAAGGTCATTAAGTGGTGGCCTGTTCAAACACTTGAGTCACCTATCTTTCAACTGTCCAAATAGTTCTACCAACCTGCATGTTATAGATCTGTTCAAAATGAAGGATTATGAATCTGAACTCTAGGTATTTATGTTCTATTATTAAAGGGTTATAGATTATTGCGACACTAAATATTGGAAAACTCGAACAGAAAAGTTACAGTTCATGGGACATTTCCCTTTGACAAACCGACGAATAAACATACTGGAATTCAAGCATTTCATATACGATGAACTGAAAAATAGATGTAGCCTCTAAACTGATGGAAAATGTATATGATTTAATCTGGATAGGAAATAAAAACCATTAAAAACGCTTATAAATAATGTTTTGAATAATCACAAGTTGCATGTATATTAAAAGTATATTTGTTGTGACATTGTACAGTTGGGGGGTAAAATTCTATAATATATCAAAAGTAATAGTATTCAATAAAGCCATCATTATCGTCTAGAATTCGAAAATTGATAGGACGGATTGGGTAATAATTTCCGAAGAATTGAGGGATTTACGTAAATTTTGAAAATCAGGCAAGTAGAAATCATAATTGAATTGAGAATACTTTCGATATTGATGAAATGACATCTAACTTAGCTGAAATAGAGTAGCAAAATACACAATAGTGAGAATAACAACAACAATGTTACTGGTAATTAGAGACGACTTTAGTCGAAATTGTGAATGCACCAAAGTAGTGGCCAATTCATTGTTGTCTCTCTAATTACATAAGTCCAGTGAGTTTTTTAATCTCAATGAAAAATCACGAAATATGGTGAATTCATGCTATTATGTCTTAGTTGTCATGCTAGCTTTACTCATTCTCATAAAGAGAACTAATCGAATTTATTTTACTGTTCAGAATTTTGCATTTACATTTATACTGAGCTGCATGAGTCCCTTTTTCTGGTAATTTACTTTTTAATTGTTGAGTGTGCTACTTTTTGTAGGGAAGAAGCTATGAAATAAATATGGACAAGATTTTGTAATCTTAAAATTCCCAAAGTCTGCGTTATCGAATCTTCGACGATACGACCTAGTCACACGTCAGATAGTGCAATTTAAAACACAAGACTATCTGCAGTAAGGTATTATCGTTACAAGATTATATGGAATACACTACAAACCCAAAATCTTGCAATGTTTAGGATATTCGGTGAGTTCGTGCACAATCCGAGATAATTGCTTTCTAAAAAGATATGAATTTAGTCATAACAACGTAAGATAAGTGGCAGCTAACAGCTGTCGAAATTGTAGTGATAGACTATATGAAAGCGATAACGAAGAATTTAAAAATAGGGTAAGTATAATAATTAAACTAAAGTTTAGTGAATGTACTGTAATTAAAAGTACCTGTCGCAAGTATTGAAAAAATTCAGTAGATGGAATGTCTTCGCTTTACGTTAGCACTCACTAATTTCAAAAATGTTTAGAAATGCGTGTTACTGAATATTATTTAGTAGTATAGAATAATACACAAAAAGGAATGGGCTAAGAAGTCGAGACCGGTAATATGAACAGACTTATCGATTGTGTAACAGAAAAGGTTATTGAACTGGAACTCTTAAAATGTAACACCGAAAGATTCAGTTAAATTGATAAGAATTAGAGTATGATTTGGTTCAATCTGACCATTGAATCACTGACAAACTATATGCTTTACTTCCTCTTAATGTTAGATGAAGTAAAATTAAGGCCGTTTCCACAGATCCACTCTCTTTAGAAAAGTATGTGATATTTCCATCCTTTTGTGGTGAAATACAATGAATTCATAACGATTTCTCTTTTGTAAAGGTTGACATAATCAGTCATGAATTTTATGTCTTCTTAAGAGTATCCAAACTACGTTACTTTTATCACTAACGTTTTCGTCGAACATATAAGTTCCTTCCCTCTCTTTATTGTTTATTAATTAACCTTTAACCGAGGATATCTTAGTTTAGTGCACCAATTCAACTTTTATGTAAATCTCCAATTAAGACATTCAAATTTCATTTCACTTCAGTCAAACATTGACCAAAAGTTACGCATGGGTAACGTTTCGTTAAAGTAATTGTAGTAACATTAGCTTAATAATTCAGTCAACGTATTATTATAACTGACTAAAAACTTGTTAAACTACCACTACATAAATAACTACATACTTTTACAATGCAAGACTTAATGATATCTGAAGATAATGTTTTTTTCGATGTTCTTGTAGAAGTTTCCCTGGTCAACAAAAGCTAAACATTCGTCTCATTGTTACATATCACTGAGAAAGCCGACACAAGTTCAGAAAAAATTTTCGATGAAACAGAACTGATTATTTAAGGACTTAATGAACTCATGTTATATTTAGTTGATAAGAATAAGTATAATTTGGTGCACACATTGATACATGTATTACATTTAACCATACAATCTAATCTATAAGATTTATTTTCAAAATAAGACATGGAATATCCAAGCATCATGACTTGTTTTACTATGATGGAGGACAAATAAAGGTATGTGCAAAATACCTTAACTCAGTTAATGCTTCAAAACATAAAAAGAATGAATTAACAGAACACAGAAATGCAAATAAATTCTTATTACTGTCAGAAGAGTTTATGTACATAGTTCCAAATTTATTCACACACAGTTATGATAATGTAGGAAAAATAATTTCAAGGAATGCCACATATAGATCCCAAATGTTTGTGTGTCATTGATAGAGGA